GTCCCAGGTGATAGAACACAATGGAATTTGTATGAAATGCATGAATAAGTGAAATGTCAGACAATGGATTGATGATGGATTGAAGATGTGCAAATTAACGGTTACAATATGGTTTTCCTATTTTACTGAGTAACTCTGTAATTTTCGTTAAATACAATTCGGTTGCCCTCACCTGTGTTCTCCTTCACTACACTAACACTTACTATTGATACTTTTACTACACCGACGAAGACTACGACTACTAGGACTACAACTATGATGGTTATGACGATTGTTACCGCTACTAGGATTACAAGTGCCACTACGACCATAGTGATTACGATTAAGATTACGGTGACTAAAACGACTATCAGGGCTGCGACTATTACTTCTACTACTACTACTACTACTACTACTACTACTACTACTACTACTACTACTACTACTACTACTACTACTACTACTACTACTACTACTACTACTACTACTACTACTACTACTACTACTACTACTACTACTACTACTACTACTACTACTACTACTACTACTACTACTACTACTACTACTACTACTACTACTACTACTACTACTACTACTACTACTACGGCTACTACAATGACTCTATGATCATGGGGACTACTCAGGCTGAAACGACTAGAACGATGACTACTGCACCTAAGAATTACTACCAGTACGACGCAACGACTACGACTACTGTGGTGAACTAAGAGACAGAAGACCAGATCGGATAATCAGTATTTTTGGAGAAGACAATCCTACACTTTATTATATGACATCCATTTGCAAGGCAAGCGTTTATTTTTGGTTATCTTGTTTCACTTATCTCCTGTTCTTTAAGACACCCAATGCTCTCGAATTTTCATTGGTGATTTAACGCTGACCAGTTCAGAACACAAAGAGTGGATGCAGCTGCTCCATTTCAAACGATTTTGAGCCATGTCATTCAGGGTCTCTCACCGTCGATTATTATCATATCGCGGACTCCAACCAGGTAGCCTACATCTGCCAACATGACTCAGTCCACTTGTCAGTGACTTCATGGATTTGTGCCATGTTTTGGTCTGTCCGCCCCTAGCTTTCTTCCAACCTATTCCTAAACCGCAAAATGTAGCTCGACGAGGCAGTCGGTGGTTGGGCATACGCGACACATGTCCAAACCACTTCAACTGATGAAGTTTCGTTACTTCATCTATTGATCTGCCATCTTTACCTAGCTCCCGTTTCCTAACAACAGCATTGCTTACTCGGTTGTCCCAAGATATACGAGCAATGCTTCGAAGACACCGATCGAAAACCAGCAACCTACGAATATATTCGTCTAACTTCAGCATTATTCATTTAAACAAAATCGGGTTGATTTTAAAATGATACAAGGTAGATTGTTCAATGAGACTGTGAAATTTCTATCGATTGAAGTAATTGTAACGTATGATTGCGTTAAGTAGTAGAAGTATTCGATATAACTCAATAATTAATTTGCAATTTGGTAGTAGTTTATTGATCTGTTGTTGACCTTGTAAATCCGATACACTTATTAAATTAATTAATTAGTTACCGACTTGCATCACTTATGTCTTCTAACCAAAAGACGAGTTTATTGCTTAGCGGTGCGCTCCGGCCTACTCTATGGGTGTGAAACATGGCCATTAGGAACCGAGAATATTCGTAGGTTACTTAGTATTTGTTAGGATATTCATCAAATATCCTAATAGAATATTTTTCATAAGTCTAATTCTATTGGTCAATTCCTACTGGTCAATATTATGGTTGTCCTGATTGTCAATGTCACAGACTTCAATGATGTTTCCTATTCGACCTAACTGTATAAATACGCATTATCTGTAACGTCTTATGACCCGTACCCGTACCTGGATCCCTAGTCCCGATCCTGGTTCTCTTCTGGACTCGGACTTCGTACTTTCTGGATGCTTGTAGAACACATGTTCTAATTCATATCAAGTCTTCTTCTTTTACTCAATGAGGGGGTGGTTGGGACACTCGGATTAGAGTAGCATATCGTGTCCCCGGATCCTTGATCCTCGCTCTCGTTTACTGACTAAGGTAAACTCGTAATCGTTCAAGTCTATTAATTGACGTGTTCACGTGCATTCGTAACAGTATTCGACCATAGGTGTCTTCAAAGGATTGCTCGTATATCCTGAGACCATCGAGTAGGAAAGGGTAACCAGGTAAGGATGGCAAATTGATTAATGAGTTGGTCAATTTTTATCATCTAAGGTGTTTGACACATGTGTTACGTGTGCCGAATGCCGAATGGTGAGTTGAACTGATGATGTAATGTGGTATTGTGATGTTGGTTTGTGTTTTTGTTGCGGTGTTTGTTTCGGTGGAAACTGTAAGAGGGTTTAGTTGTGTGTGTGTGTGTGTAAGTGTTGTGATGACTGTCGAATGTGTGTTGGTTTGTAGTTGTGCAATTATTTTTGTTCCTGAAAGCGCAGAGACGCATTTGCGTTGTCTGTTGTCGCATTGGGAACTACATGGAATGATGACTCCATAGTGGGTGAGATGGCAATGGTGCTGTGTCAATGTGGGGTCGTACAGTAGTGGTTGTATGTTGAATGGTGAGTTGAACTGATGATGTGATGTGGTATTGTGATGTTGGTTTGTGTTTTTGGTGCAACCGAGCTATATTGTCTGGAAAATGTGTTCCTGTAGGTTCGTTCTACCATGCTAGATAGGTCGATTGGATAATGGTGAGACTAAAAGCAGCTACTCAAGGTCTGAGGGCGACATCTTGCTACCAAATGTAGAGGGGTGTGAAATCAGAACAGTGTTTCCCTCGGACAACCAGCATCTGCGGCGATTCTGCCTTCTCACAAGGAAGGAATAGGTTCGAAAGGGTTGACCCTAAATCTATCACACATTATCCTACCCCACGGATTTCCTTCGCCTGCGGTAAGGCCGATTGAAAAGCGGAGCTGACACTTTCAAAACTTCTCATAAAAAGGTCGTGCGTGACAGGCCTCAAGCAGTTGCCCCATGGGCCATGTGGTCACGCTCTCAGGTAGCTAAGACCAGTGTCAATTCAATTCCCTTTTCAGGTTCCTCAAGAAGTACCCTTCCATGGGATAGGCCACCAGGAAAGTGACATCTGCCCTCATACGCGTCACATCAAACGAGACCAAACCGACCTCAGTCAAATGTTTTCTGCTCCTCCTCATAACTCTTACCTCCACGACTAACTCTTCTCAAATTCCTAGTAGCTGAAGAGGTTGGATAAGATGACACCGAGTCAATTCCGATACTGTTTTTTAGCATTCACTGTTTATATTCCTTTAGATATTATGTCTCGCATCATATTACCATAGTTTCAACTCTTGGACTTTGAGATGGTGGAGAAGATTTGTGGCTCAGGTGGATCGACATTGACCGAATTTATCAACCAATCAGGAAAATCATAGGTGACATAGGATCAACAAACAGATCAAAAAGGGGATACAATCAAAACAAAGGTACAAACAACGACAGGTTTAAGGTCAACAGCAACCAATCAATATTGAGGTTAGCAGGACAAGCTACAGGTCAAACGTGGAGAAATTCGAATACTCTACTTCTTCTATCTGAAGTTTGTGCTGATGATGTTGTTCAGTAGAAGAACAATGAAAGCTCCACAACCAAAACATCCAGCTCAGAGAACCAAACACCACCACCACCACACTCTTGGACTTATTCATCTTGCCGTGTTAAATGTGACTACCGCGAGACGATAATCACCAATGGTTAGATACCTTGAACGACATGTCTCAGAATCGTTTGCAATGGCGCGGGTGCATCCACTATTTGTGTCCTATGAAATTCTAACCTTCTGCATTCCTCATAATCTCTACCTTTCTCCTTCTAAATTTATCTCATTGAATTATACTTCTCGAATCATATCTTCGCTTCCTAATCTTCTTCATTACTGCTAATACTTCTATTATCGCTATCACTCTTGGATTTGAACTGACAGTTGCGTCTCTGTGCTGATATGGTATGGCAACCTGAACTGATGTACTTACGTACGAAGTTCTGCGTTGTATGTCTGTCTGTCTGATATACCAATCTTAAATGATAGAAAATTCGTCTCAAACTTTATTTTGTTCATCATCAATGACATAAACTAAGGTAACTGTTACATAATAACAATTTGTTTAACTCAGACAATTTCCACTTGGAAATTTAATTCATTTTTACTTTTCATTGTTAAAAAATAGTCATTGCAATTCAACAGAATGAACAAAGAACTGAAAATCAAGTCGATATTCATCAAATCGATTGTTCCGGTGATAAAGTATCATCGTCTTCATCAGCAGCCACAACAACAACAACAACACCAAAGAACACTTCTGTGAAATCACATTGTACATTGAACAAATCAAATGGTAATAATAATACTAATAATATGATGGTATTTCAAAATACTCCATCAGGTGTTGAAATTCCCCATTTATCATCATCATTGTCATATGATAGTCATAAAATGAAAGCACACTATCGTCGTTGGTTAGCTAAACAAAAACATTTACAACAGAGAAGTTTAAAAGAGAATCGATCATTTGAAGCGTTACTTCAGGTATGTATGTATTTTTATATACTTGTCAACTGATATTCTTGAAACTAATACGAGTTCACTTTAGTCTACAAACGAGAACGAAGACAAATGATCCAGTGACACGATAGGCTACTCTAATCCGAGCGTCCCAAGGCTCTCACTAACGGTATCAAAAAGTCTTGATATGACGTCGTAAGTGTATTATTCTACAAGCATCCAGGAAATATGAGATTTTGTACAGAAGAAGAAGAGGAGCATAAAACTTGACAGACAGTTCATATTCATACAGTTAGGTCGAATACTCACTTATAGGAAAGAACATTTAAAAATATGTGAACCTGATAGTTTAGGACGACCTTAAGTGTTGACTAATAGGAATTGACCAATAGAATTAGACTTACAAAATAATTTTTTATGATATTTGATGAATATCCCCTAACACTATGTTGAACTTGAAGTGCAGCTCACCACTTTAATGACTTGCAATCTGATTCCTTTTTGTGCATACGGTCGAGTATGCAATGAAATAAATCTTCCTTTATATTTCTCTATGTCATACTTAGGCAAACCCCGTTTGTGCGACGGCGGTAATAGGTAGCCAAATATGGTTTTATGGATGAATTTATTTCATGAATCTATTTAGGCAGACAGGCGGGGATGAAAAGCGTACAATCCAGACGAATCAAAGTGGAGAAGGCGACTGAGCCGACTCAATGCGATGGAGCATGACTGATTATTTATAGTCAGACAAAATAAGCTAACTGAAGTAAGCGGCACACGCACAGGACAATGGAGCAACATCAGGAGATGTAGTTCCATGGTAGCTGGTAATCAACAATAGATTTATGCATCATTGTCTTGGAATCAGGATTTTTTGACTCCTCTAGATGGATCCTGGATACCCACTAACTCAGGTTTAAGCCTCGATTAGACGTTTGCCTTTCGTCCTGTCAATTTCTTGAACAACACCACCTATATTACGATGAGTCAGTGAGTATGACTTCTACGGTTTTTGGCTGTATAACACGTTGTTATATATGTGGATTTCGAGAGGGAGAGCAAAGTCTTCATCAGCAAGATCTAGCTGAACTATTCAGAGGAATAATGCTCTTTCTGTGTGGCAGATTTGATCTCATGTTATCCAGTCCTACCAGTCTGAGACGTTACCACATTGATCTATTGCGAGCTATAATTCACCTGTAAAACTGAGGTATTTACAAATTATTGAGCAAGGGCTTTTTTTCATGTTTGTCAAGTCTTTCTTAAAACTGATCAAATTCCATTTTAGTGTCTCTTGCTTATCCCCAATCACCTGATGTCTCTCAATATGGTGCTCGTAATATCGAGTCATTTAGGCTGTTGCATTACAGGGTTGTAAAGATTGTTAAGTTACACATTTTTGAAACCATGAATCGATCAATGCTAGACCACCATTAGAAACCTGGAAGCACTGGACGGCCGTTTCGTCCTGGTATGGGACTCCTCAGCAGTGCGCATCCACGACTCCTGCACCCCGCAGGATTCGAACCCAGGACCTTCGGTACTGTAGGCGAACGCCTAACCATCGGACCACTGAGCCGGTATCTAACGGTGTTAATGTCTAACTTGATCAATTCACGGAGTTGCGCAACCTCATACACAGTCTTCGGTAGTTACTGTCTACACCCGAACAGGTTGAACTTCACTGATCATGTCTGTTGGTCAAATTACAACATGATTCATAGGATTCAATCAGCACTAATAAAAACACCTAACATTTATATTTCCTGAGTGAATATTCAGTAATTAATTCATGGTAAAACTAAACTTGATTCGTTTTTTGATTTCAATGAAACTCAACAATCATCACAACCTTGTACACTGACAATTATCATGTGTGTGTGTGTTCACCAAGTGACTAGTTTCGTAAGGAAGTTTCTCCGTGTTCTAATGCAAAGCTGTAACCAGTGAAGCTCAGTTGTGTTGTGTGTGATGCAGTGTTACTCACCAAAGACAATGGATAATAGATTGGTTGTATACCAACTTACTGGTCTAAAGGTTAAGTGTTCGCACGTCAGACTAAAAGTCCTTGGTTCGACTTTCGTTCACGAAAAAATCTTCCGGTGCATCCGATCATCGATGTCTCCGAAGCATTGCTCGTGTATCATGGGACAACCGTATAAGCAATGCTGTCGTTAGGAAACGAGTTCTAGGTAAGGATGGCAAATCAATAGATGAAGCATTGAAACTTCAGTTGAGGTTGGTTGGGACATGTGTTACGTATGCCTAACCACCGACTGCCGTGACGAGCTATGTTTTGCAGTGTAGGAGTAGGTTGGAAGAAAGCTAGAGGCGGCCAAATCAAAACATAGCACAAATCCATGAAGTCACTGACATGTGGACTGAGTCATGTTGGTAGATGTAGACTACCTGGTTGGGGTCCGCGAGATGTTAGTAATCGATGGTTAGAGACCCTGAATGACATGGCTCAAGATCGTTTGCAATGGCTGAGGTGCATCCACTCTTTGTGTTCTCTCTAATTCTAACCTTCTGAATTCCACATCATCTCTATCTTTCTTCTTCTAAATTTATCTCACTGAATTATACTTCTCCCTAATCTTTTGGATTACTGCTAATACTTCTACTATTGCTATCACTCCTTGATTTGAACTGACAGTTGCATCTCTGTGCTGACGTGGTATGGCAACCTGAACTGATGTACGAAGTTCTGCGTTGTGTCTCTCTGTCTGTCTGTCTTCCGGTGCCTCTAGTTTTCCAATAATGCTCTAACACGGATCAATTCATAATTTCAATAACAATCAATATTTTTTCATCGCAGAAACTTTTTTCACAATTGTGCCTCATTTTTATTCTGTTGTCACTGTTGTTATTGTTATCAGGAATATTATGAAAGACGTCAAAAACGTTTAGATAAAAATAAACCGAAACAAATTGAAGATTTTCTACAATGTGAACCAAAGAAAGGTGAAGGAAAACACTTTATTGAAGTATGTTTATGTGTGTGTGTGTGTGTGCGTGTGTGTGTGAATGTTTGTCTGTTTGTTTAATGGATGAATGAACATTTCTTCATTTCATTTTAGCTTAGAATTCTTGTTACACATGTACGTAAACATGTCAATTTTGATAGTGATTGAATGTTATTACGAGTTTACCTTAGTCGGAAAATGATAGTGAGGATGGAGAATCCGGTGACGAGACAAGCTACCCTAATCCGAATGTCCCAAACCCTCCTCCATTGAGTTAAAAGAAAAAGACTTGATATGTAGTAGAACATGTGTTCTACAAGCATCCAGAAAGTACAAGGTCGGAGTCCAGAAGAAGGCACGGATCCTAGACTAAGGAAATATCATCATAAACAATAGTTTCATTGAAATATAAACTTTCAAGATTAGATACTACTAACTCAGCCTGGAGTCGTTCTAGAATTACTGTCGGTCCCAAGCTCTTTGATCAAGTCGGAAGGTTGTGTATATGGGGTTAGCGACCTTATCCTGCGGAAATCCAGCTCGCTAGATTAAAAAAACGCTAACCAGAAGAAAATTCATTCGTTGGTCGGTGGCCTATGCCTCATTAGGGGTGACAAGTGTAAGTAAAGTAATCAATAAGTAAGATTAGTTAATGACAAGCGAGGTTTTTGGATTTTGACGACATATTAAATGTTACTGTAATCTACAAACTTACATGTTAGATAATTCGATATGTTCTTACAGAGGTATTCTCTCTCTTTCTACAGAGCTTATTTCATTAGGGAAAATGATGTTTGTTAGTTCCAGTAGTAGTGGTAGTTGGAGATCATAATAATGAATATTTCCAATCTAGCTAGGGGTGTGGCCAAACCAAAATATGGCACACATCCATGAAGTGATTGACAAGTGGACTGAATCATGTTGGTAGGTGTAGACTACCTGGTATGTGTAGGCGAAGTGATCGGAATCGATGGTTAGAGACCTTGAACGTCATGGCTCAGAATCGTTTGCAATGGCGCAGGTGCATCCACTCTTCGTGTTCTATGAAATTCTAACTTTCTAAAATTCCTCATCACCTCTGTCTTTCTCCTTCTAATTTTATCTCACTGAATTATACTTCTCGAATCATATCTTCGAACCCTAATATTCTCCATTACTGCTAATACTTCTATTATTGCTATCACTCTTGGATTTGAACTGACAGTCGCCTCTCTGTGCTGATGTGGTACGGCGACCTGAACTTATGTACTTACGTACGAAGTTCTACGTTGTAACTGACCGACTGACTGATTTTCAATCTACACTGTTTAGTAAAATGTTCTTTTTTTTAAAATTCAAAAGAATACATGGTCATCAGTGTATTGGGATGATATAAGTAGTTAATTTTTATTGCCTAATTTATATCAGAATACTAAGTGAATGTAACAAAGGGAAAGCAAAATTCTCCGGTACAACACAACATGCACAAACCAAATCACTCTTGAAGGAGATGCATTGGAGGATGTAGAAACCTTTACATTATCTAGACAGCATTACTTATAAACAAGGTGGATCTGATGCAGATGTAAAAGCTCAGGTCGGCAAATCAAGGACTGCATTTCTACAACTGAACAACATTTGGAACTCAAAACAACTAGCAGCCAACACCAAAATCAGAATTTTCAATACAAATTTTTAGACGTTTCTACTGTATGTGGTGGAAATTTGGACAACTACCAAAGCCATCTGTTAAGTTCGTCACTTGATATGCTTGAAACTATTACGAGTTCACGTTACTCGAAAAACGAGAGCGAAACAATGATCCAGTGACACGATAGGCTGATCTAGTCCGTTGCCCTCGTCTAACTGAAGAAGAAGTCTTGACATAGCGTGGAAAATGTATTCTATAAGCACCCAAAAAGTATGAGGCTGACAAGCACACAAATCAAGTTTGTTTATACATCATAGTCACGTCTATGGGAGAGCCACAAAAATTACGTACCGAAAATAACACGTCGACCAATCACATCCAAGGATTTTCCTTGAGGGAAATGTAATCTCATGGTCAACTGATCAGCCCATGAATAAAATCCAAAATTAAGACCTTTATCAAGGTAGTTCTGGACATCTAACTTCCCCAACACCATTCAGAAGATGCAAGTATTCATCAACGCGAAATACTTCAGATCTGTTGGCCAGACACCATTAGCAACAACCTACTGTGGGAGATGACAAACCAGATTCCAGCGGAGGAGGAAATCAAGAAAAAGCGATGAAAGTAGATAGGAAACACACTGAAGATATCACCCAACTGTGTCACAAGACAAGCCGTAACTTTGAATCTTCAGGGCAAAAGGAAAAGTTAAAGGCCAAGAAATACATCACGTCGAGAAACGGCGACACACATGAGAACAATAAACCACAGTTGGACAGAACTGGAAAGGGAAGCCCAGCACAGAGTAGGTTGACGAATACTAGTTGGCGGTCTATGCTCCAATGTGTGTAACAGACGTAATTAAGTAAGTCATAACAAGTCGTTTGATGAGAAGAAGATGGTAATAAGTCTCAGTCGACGAAACGGATTGAAATACATGTTGTATGTATGTCGAACATCACAGTCTACCTTGATAGGAAATATTGATTGATATGTCAACCAAATCACAAGGTTTCATTTTTGTCAACAAGTAACATACATACTTGAAGAAGCATTAATCAATTAACTACTTCACTATTCTATCTATTTATATTCGTTTGATTTACATCATTCTCTGTATATATGTTGGAGACGTTAGATCTCCAGTATTCACGTGGACAAGATCGTAATTTTGTAATTTATTTCCGAAATTTTGAATTTTTTCGTGTTTTCGTGCCATGAAACGCTTAGTTGACCTACAGCTTATATTTCCCACTCGGGAAATTCTTGACCTGTCATTGGTTGATGGAATATTTTCGTACGCTATTTTTGTGACTCTCCCAAGGGCGTTGCTATCTTTGTATTAATAAGTATGATTTGTGTACTTAGCAAGTTCGTATTTTCTGGTTGCCTGTAGAATACATTCTCTACTCCTGATCAAGACTTCTCGATCTAGTTATCCGGGTCTGGGGAAAATCGGATTAGAGAGTAGCCTATCGTATCACTGTATCATTGCTCTTCGTTTCATTTACCAAGTAAGGTGAACTTGTAATAGCATTCAAGCATATCAATATAATATTAGTAACAATAATTATGATAGTAATATACCTTTTTGTAATATTACAGATTCGTTTAATACGTACATCTGCACCAGTAGATATTAATTCTGAATCTAGCCTTAAATTATCGCATAAAATTTATGAAAAATATCAAATTCACATACATAATGATAAGAAAGATGATTGTGTTTGGGAGAAATTTGAACGTTTCTTAATTAAATCACCGTTAGTATTGGTAAGTGTTAAAAAAAAATGTTTACTGATTTTGTTTGTTTATACTAAAAGTTTGAATATATATGTTATTCAATGATGAGATTGTAAGATCTTTCTTTTTAAATAAAATCTGCGTATATGTGTGTGTGATTGAAAGATGACTGACGAGATCGTGAGTGTGTATACACTATGATTTTGAACGATGCTGAGACGGAATGAATTGACTATTTAATTCCGTCTTATTCGTGTTACGGAGAGTGAGAAGAGTCTTCCCTCTCCTTTTGAAAGATTAGCATATAGCCATTTGGATATAGCCACTGCCAAGGAAGTTCTACTCGCTGCCTTCTCGTGAGGTCAAGGACTTTCCAAGTGGGTCAGTCAGTCAATCACTTGCAACGTAGAACTACATATGTATGTACATAAGTTCATGTTGCTATACCACATTATTAGCACATAGACGCAAATGTCAAATCAAATCCCATAGCGACAAGATAGTAGAGGTATTAATGGTAATGAAGAAGACTAGGGTTTGAAGATATTATTCAAGAAGTATAATTCAGTGAGATAAGGTTAGAAAGACAAAGGTAGAGGTGCTGACGAATTCAGAAGATTAGGATTTGAGAGAGCTCAAAGAATGGATGCACTTGCGCCATTGCAAACGATTTTGAGCCATGTTGTTCAAGGTCTCTAACCATTGGTGACTTTCGTCTCGCGGACCCCAACCAGGTAGTCTACATCTACCAACATGACTCAGTCCACTTGTCAGTGACTTCATGGACTTGTGTGATGTTTTGGTTTGGCCACCCCTAACTTTCTTCCAATCTACCCCTACACATTAAAACATCGCCCATAGAAGCAGTCGGTGGTTAGGCATACGCAACACATGTCCCAACCACCTCAACTGATGAAGTGTCACCACTTCATCGATTGATCTGCCATCCTTACCTAGCACCCCTATCCCAACCACAGCATTGCTTACTCGCTTTTCCCACGATATACGAGCAATGCTTCGAAGACCTATGATCGAAAACCAGTAACCTACGAATATCTTCTTCTCTGACTAGCTATGGTTCACAGCCATATAGGAGAACGGAGCTAACTACTGCACAGTACACTCGTCCTTTAGTTAGCAAACAGATATCTCACCTTCACTATCAGTGACGCCCGACCGTAGCTGCTACCTTGACGTGGTGGTCGGGCTTGCCTATCGTTATGACCCAACCGAGCTATACTGGCTGGAACATATGTTCCTGCAGGTCCTACCATGCCAGGCTGGTCGATTGGAGAACGATGAGACTAAAAGCAGCTACCCAAGGTCTGAGCGCGAAGTCGTACTGCTGACTGCAGAGGGGTGTGACAGCAGTAAGGTGTTTCCCTCAGACAACCAGCATCTGCAGCGATGCTGCCTTCTCACAATCACAGTGCGCGGCTAATGCAAACGATGCGAGTTTGCGAAACGTCGTTCCTGGTCTCCTTAAACCCCGTCCTAGACTACATGTTGGACCGTTTAATGTACGGACATTGTGTTAAATAGGGCCACAGGCTTCATTAGCTAAGACTTTAGAATCTCGTGCCATCGATGTATGCTGCGTCTCGGGAACGCGCATACAGGATCCTAGTAAAATTATTAATCTGATTTCACCTTGTCAAAATAAAGAAGCAGCTCGATTTACTCTTGGTGTATCCGGTAGCCCTGATGCTGCTTCCCGGGGTCTTGCTGGCCTAGGCATAGCATTGATTCGTAGAGCTGAACAATCTCTCGTTGACTGGATCCCAGTAGATAGTCGTTTGTGCGCTGTCCGACTAAACGGGACCGTAAGGACTCGGAAAGATAGGGACACTCGCCGTTGTCTCTTCATCGTATCTGCCTATGCCCCCACTGACTGCTGTGCAGACGAGGTGAAAGATCAAGCGAATTTTGGGGATCTAACATCCCCAACAAGTAGGTAAACTAGGTGAAAAGGAAAGACATCTAGGTGGATGTTATGGTGTAACGACTGAGAGAACAGACAATGGCGACCGTCTGTTGCAACTATGCTCAGATAACCGCCTATTCTTAGCGAACACCAACTTTAGGCATAAGGAAAAGCATCTGTTGACCTGGCGACCCCCGAAGTCGTCTCAACGTTGGACTCAACTAGATCACATCGCCATCAGCCACCGATGGAGGGGTTCGATAGAAGACTGTCGCTCGTTCTGGTGCACGTGTTTGGATTCAGATCATGCCCTAGTGCGAGCTCGTATTTGTTTGAAGCTTACTAGGCGTAGGAAAGACACCGTAAGAAAGCCTCTTAGGGTTTTACTTAATGATAATAAGGCGAAAAATATATTTCAGGAACAACTGGAAAGACAGTTAGGCGACCAGTTAAGCGAATCCCATCCGGAGGCAGGTTGGAATGATATCAAAAAGGCTGTGGAAACAGCAGTGATATCTGCTAGTAAGGTTGACCATAAGGCTAGAATGAAGCCGTGGATCTCAGTAGCATCCACCGATCTGATGGATGCCCGAAAACTCATCCCACCTGGCTCTGAACATGACGAAGAACGAAGTCAACTTAGGCGCAGACTTATAAAAAGCCTACGTAACGACCGCGAACAGTGGTGGGTGGCGAAAGCAAAAGCGATGGAAAAGGCAGCGGCGATCGGCAACAGTAGACAACTTTTCCGACTTATCAAGCAAACTGGTACTAGGAATCTTAGTGTACGTGAGAATGTCTCGAAATAGGATGGGACTCTCATTTATTCTCAATCCAGGAGACTGGATCGATGGGCAGAACACTTTAGGGATCAGTTCAACTGGCCTCGAGCCACTCTTCGGTTACCCACGATCTTCAGTCATCCTGAGTGGCAAATCGACGTAACCCCCCTAGTCTTAATGAAATTGAAAATGCGTTAGGAAATCTGAAGCGAGGGCGAGCTGCGGGTCCTGATAGACTGACCCCTGAGATAATTAAGGATGGTGGTCCAGTTTTAGCAACAAGGTTGAACGAGATCTTAGGTAGAATCTGGGAACTGGACGTAATCCCATCCGACTGGTCTCAATCACTGATTGTCCCAATCTATAAGAAAGGACAGAAGTCTTCTTGTGACAATCACAGGGGAATAAGTCTAACTACTAATATAGTATCTAAAATTTTGGCCTCAATAATACTTCGGCGCTTAACGAAAGCTCGTGAAGAGCAGACTAGAGAAAACCAGTCTGGTTTCAGACCTGGACGTGGCTGTATAGACCACATTTTCACACTACGACAGGTCCTGGAACACAGACACACATTTAGACGTCCGACAATAGTTGTTTTCCTGGACCTAAAAGTGGCATTTGACTCAGTGGATCGTGAGGTTCTGTGGCAGTGTCTGTCATTGAAAGGTGTACCAAAGAAGTACATTAACCTCATACAAGCTCTCTACTCGAGCACCACTGGTCGAGTGAGAGCTTATGGCGAACTGTCACCGGAATTCTTCACTTCAAGTGGTGTCCGTCAGGGATGTCCACTTTCTCCATTCTTGTTTAATTTTATCATAGACATGCTCCTAGATATAACCTTATCCTCGTCTGAATTTTCAGGAGTAGACCTTTTACCTGCTGGCTCGCTTATTGACTTAGAGTATGCCGATGACATTGTCCTACTTGGTGAAGACGTTGACAAAATGAAGAGTCTTCTGACTACCCTAAGCAACAATGCAAGCATGTTCGGGATGCGGTTTTCCCCCTCGAAATGCAAAATGTTGCTTCAAGATTGGGTTGCATCGGCACCTGAACTAGTGATAGGAAGTGAAGTAGTTGAACGTGTAGACCGCTTCACTTATCTTGGGAGTCTCATCAGTGCCGATGGCCTGGTGACTGACGAAATCTCAGCACGGATACAGAAGGCTCGATTGGCTTGTAGTGTGCCCGATGGCTGCGTGTTCTTATAGCTCGATTTATAAATCAGAAGGTGAACTCCAAGTATCGTATACATTTATTCGAGGCACACCACATACAGACTGAGCAGATACACTAGCGAGCGAATATGCGAATGAGCGAAGAGGAGAAGCGAATAGGAGAAGGCTGTTGAGCCAACTCCAAGAGATAGAGTATGACTAAGAATATATAGTCCGATAAAAATAAGACAGACATATGACAAGCGAAATAGATATGCACACACATGAATACAAGCGACGAATGATTGACAAGGTCAAATGCAAGCGATACAAATCATGTGAGTTCATGGGAATACTAAGAGATTAACATTAAAGCGAAAAGGATGAGTAAGCGCGTAGGCGTAAGCAATGCTCAGTCGTATAAGCTCATAAAAAGCAGATAATAAAAAATAACAATGGTACATATCAGTTGTTGCTATACAAATGGCTTGGTTAAATAAATTAATCGAAAGGCTTAACCAAGTTAGATGTGAGAGAAGTGAAATATATGTGGAGGCACTACAGGCTTTTGCCAACTTGCGTCACTTATGGCGTAGACGAGATACCCGTTTGCTGACTAAAGGACGAGTGTACTGTGCAGTGGTTCGCTCCGTCTTACTTTATGGCTGTGAAACATGGCCAGTGAGAGTAGAAGATATTCGTAGGTTATTGATTTTTCGATCATAGGTGTCTTCGAAGCATTGCTCGTATATCGTGGGACAACCGAGTAAGCAATGCTGCCGTTAGGAAACGAGTACTGGGCAAGAATGGCAGATCAATCGATGAAGTGGCGAAACTTCATCAGTTGAGGTGGTTGGGACATGTGTTGCGTATGCCTAACCACCGACTGCCTCGTCGAGCTTTGTTTTGTAGTGTAGGAATAGGTTGGAAGAAAGTTAGGGGCGGTCATACAAAAACATGGCAGAAATCCATGAAGTCACTGACAAGTGGACTGAGTCATGTTGGTAGTTGTCGACTACCTGGTTGGGGTCCGCGAGATGTTAGTAATCGATGGTTAGAGACCTTGAACAACATGGCTCAAAATCGTTTGCAATGGCGCAAGTGCATTCATTCTTTGTGTTCTCTGTCAAATCCTAATCTTCTGGATTCGTCAGCACTTCTACCTTTGTCTTCTAACCTTATCTCACTGAATCATACTTCTTGAATAATATCTTTTAATCCTAACCTCTCCGATTACTCCTACTACTACCTCTTCTACTATTGGATTTGAATTGACAATTACATCTCTGTGCTGATGTGGTATGGCAACATGAACTGATGTACTTACGTACGAAGTTCCACGTTGCAACTGACTGACCGACTGACTATAAGTGACGCAGGTTGGCAAAAGCCAATCGAGCTTTCTGTATCCGAGCTGATATTTCGTCACAAACCAGTCCATCAACGCTGATGAAACTCCCCAGATAAGTGAAGCGGTCTACACGTTCGACCACTTCACTCCCTATCACTAGTTCAGGTGCCGATGCAACCGAATCTTGAAGCAACATCGCTGCATTCTACCCATTCTATATATAATATAATAACAAGGAATTTTACTTTTTAAAGGATAATTTTGAATGGAATTCCACTTCACCAATGTTTGGCTCCTACCATCAACAATATTGGCTTGATGGTGAACAGTTGATTGCTGTCGGTGTTATTGATCTACTTCCAAAATGTCTTTCATCAGTTTATGTTTTCTATGATCCAAACTATGCATTTCTTCATCTTGGCACATATACTGCATTACGGTAAGTTGAATTACATTCTACTATTTTTTAATGTCAAGCTTTATTAAACTGGCATCCACAACGGTGTTAATGTCTAACTCGAATGAATTTATAGATTTGTTGTGGATGGGCACTGCTGATGAGTTTCATACCAGGAAGAAACGGCCGTCTTTCAGTGCTTCCAAGTATCTAAGGTTGGTGGTCTAACTATGATTGATTGATGATTTCAGATGTTTAAAAAAGTGAAATTAGTCGATGGAAAAAAATGTTCGAACCTACAATCTACCAGTTTTGAAAGAATATGCATTAGTTGTCGTCACACAAATTGTCAATATTAAATTGTATAAGTCTTGTTTTAGTCAATACCGATGATACATTTTAATGTTGTTTTGAGCAGCTGGACAATCTAGACTTCGCAGATGATCTGACTCTTGTATCAATTACGCAACAACAAGTGCGGAAAAAGATGATCAGTGTAGCGCCAGCCTTAGCAGTAGTAGGTTTCAACATACACAAAGGGAAAAGTAAGATTCTCCAATACAACACAACATGCACCAACCAAATTACTATCGATGAAGTCGCTTTTGAGGATGCGGAAACCTTTACATATCTGGCTAGCCTTACTGATAAACAAAGTGGATCTAATGCAAACGCAAAGGCAGGAACTGGCAAAGTAAGGCAGTATGAGAGTTGTAAATCATTAGTCGATCAATGTTAGACAACCGTTAGAAACCTGGAAGCACTAGACAGACGTTTCGTCCTGGTATGGAACTCATCAGCAGTGTCCATTCATGACCCCCGCTGCTCGCAGGACTCGAACACTGGACCTTTGGTCTCGCACGCGAACGCCTTAACCTCTAGACCACTAAGCCGGCATCCAACGGTGTTGATGTCTAACTTCGATCAATTCATGGTCCTTCGTAACCTCATTCAATATCTTCGGTGGGTACTGCTTCACTCCCGAAAAGAGTTGAACTCCACCGGTCACAAATTCTCATTTGAACTCAGAGGAATTTCTTCACGGAGCTAGTCACTAGTGAGTGCATGATAAATTTCCATTTCACGTTTGTAGAGATTGTTGAGTTTTATTGAAATCAGCTCAGTAGTCTAGAGGTTAAGCATTCTCACGCGAGATCGAAGATGCTGAATTTAATTCCCACAAGCAAAGGTCATGGATGCGCTTTGCTGAGTCCCACAGTAGGACAAAATGACCGTCCAACGGCTGTAGGTTTCTAATAGTGGTCTCACATCGATCGATTCATGATTTCAAAGAAACTCAACAATTGCCACTACCCTATTGTGAAAATTTCATTGAAATCATGAATCAATCAATTTCAGATCACCATTATAAACCTGAAAGTAATGAATGGTAATTTCGACTCATCAGCAGTATTTGAACAGAGAAATGTGAGATAGTACCATTTCCTGCTTTCTCGTCAGTCACATACAAGCAACATGTTATTTTGGAACCATGAATCGATCAATGTTAGACCACCATTAGAAACCTGGAAGCACTGGACGGCCGTTTCGTCCTGGTATGGGACTCCTCAGCAGTGCGCATCCACGACTCCTGCATCCCACAGGATTCGCGCACAATACCGAAGGTCCTGGGTTCGAATCCTGCGGGATGCAGGAGTCGTGGATGCGCACTGCTGAGGAGTCCCATACCAGGACGAAACGGCCGTCCAGTGCTTCCAGGTTTCTAGAGGTGATCTAACATTGATCGATTCATGGTTTCAAAAATGTGTAACTTACCAATCTTCACAACCCCTGTAATGAAAACATGTTATTTATGTAAATACAGTTATAAAGATAAGGTCAAAATTTCTTATTTAGCATGACATTCACTCACTAGAACCATGGTAAACAAAGGTCAACATACAGTTGTTTTTGAACACATAAAGTTGGACTTTTCCGACCAATCAAGATAGCTTCGAGTAGTTTGAGTGTGTGTGAGTTTTGATGACTTGTCACAACTCTAAAGGATGATTTTGGGTCGATTTGATGACCACTCATCATTAGATGTTTTGCAATGGACGAGGCTGGGTTTCTTGATCGATCTTGAGATGATGGGCTAGGTTGATGAATCATGGATTTGATTAGCCATTTTGGAATATGTTCCCCTATCCTGTCTTCCAATCGGCGATCTGTCCTCCCTAAGTAACTTTCTCCGCAGTTACATGTGAATTGGTAAATACAGTGGGATTTGGACTGAATCGGTCTTGGAGACTTGATTGGAGTAACTGAGATCGATTGAGTTGTTGTGATAAGCCTCAGATTAGCTGCATTGAAGGTCTTTTTTTATTGCAGCTGCAGTCTGTTTGGTTGTAATTTTCATGCAATGATCACCCTTGAAAGGTAACTGTAGGTACACTGGTTTCTTGGGCACATCAGTTGCTATCAGTTTCGTCGTAGTTGTGTTCTGATGACCAATAAACGTTTCGGGATATCCGTTTAATTTAAGTGTCTCAGTAATAAGCTTGAATTCGTCGTCCAATGTATCAACAGTGCAAATTCTACTTGCTCGAGCGAATAAAGTTTTGACAACAGAACGTTTATATTGTATGGGGCAGAAACTAGTGAAGTGGAGGTACTGTCCCGACCAGGTGGGTTTGTGGTGTACTTTTCGTCTGATTGATCCGTCTGGACGGCGATGGAGCAGGATATCGAGGAAAGCTAGTTCATTATTCTTTTCTTCCTCATAAATGACTTTCAGATTCGGGTGAATCGCATAAAATAAATCATTGACTTCATTAATATATGTAGAATGTGGTAATATGACAAGAATATCGTCGACATATCGTTTGTATATTTCGGATGGTCGTCAAATGAATTTCTCTTTTGGGCACACTGTCTAATTGACTCCACTCATCAAATTCTTTAATCGTTAGATCATTAGTCTGTTATTTTTGTGCGTACTTAATGTGTGACGATATCCTTTTTTATACTTATTGTCAGCACTGATTGACTCGCCAAATTTGATTACTGGTTCTACCTTTTATCAACGGTCTTTTTAACCTATCTGCAAATCCTTTAGCTTTTCTGTTAGATTGAAAGATATGACTGCGATCATAAGTGGATAGGTAATTCCATTCTAATCACAAAACCGATTTAAACTGCAAACCATTCTCGGTGAATATACTTGCCAACTGATATGCTTGAATGATATTACGAGTTCACTTTACTCGATAAACGGAGCGAAGATCACTGATACAGTGACACGATAGGCGCTATTCTAATCCGATTGTCCCCCCAGGCCCCATTAACTTGATATTGCGTAGAAAGTCTATTCTACAGGTACCTAGAAAATAGGAGGTTGCTGAGCAAACAACTCAAGCTTATTTATACAAGATGGCAACTTCCTTGGGAGAGCCACACAATAGCGTACTAAAAAAACCCGTCAACCAATGACAGTCAGGCATTTCTGAGTAGGAGATGTAGTTTCAAGGTCAACCAAGCATCTCTTGGCGCGAAAACACCCTTTTCAAGTTTTTTCTGTGGATCTAACATCCCCAACAGTTGATAATGTGGTTTATTTGTTTTTTTTCTTTTTCCTAGTGAAATTGCATTTGTTCGCCATTTATCTAGAACATATGGTCTAATAAATTCCAACCAACCAGATTCATTCTATTCAAATTTCAATTCCTACTATATGGGTTATTATATACATACATGTCGTAAAATGGCCTATAAAGCACAATATGGTCCAGCTTATTTAGCATGTCCAGAAACATACAATTGGATACCAATTAATGATTGTTTACAAGCATTAAATAATTTGAAAACTAGTAAATATACACGATTCTCACCGCTGTCTGCTGTCGATATCGATTTAATCCCTGAAACAATGGATATAGAGACATTAGATTCACAAATCTATTTTTACATAGAACACAATAGAAATAAAAATACTACTAATAAAAAAGTCTCATCATCATCTTCATCTTCATCGTCGTCATCATTGTCATTATCAACTTATACAAAAGAAGATTTTCTTCGAAATCCACCAATCTCACTACTGACTATACGTTCATATTTAAATAAACAAGCTATTCCAGTATTTCGTGAATGGGCTAAACTATTAGGTAAACGTGTATTGACTGGACATTTTCAAATTATTATTCATTCAAATTGATGACAAGAGAAAGAAACATTGAAAACAAGCAGTCGACTATTGTACATTGAACACACTTGTTCATTCAACTATGAAAATTGGCGGGAGATAGAGTTTTTTAAGAAAAAAAATCATGATTTTTATCAAGATTTGATTTGATTGGTCTAGTTTATTGTTGAATTGAAATTTTTCTGTTTCATTCAAAGAATTTGTATAATAACTTTATTTTGTTTGAATTTCTATTGGTTCATCTGTTTACTTGTAAACGAATTGATGCATACAGGAGTCTCTACATTAACAGATAATAATAATCTCGTTATCATTTCATGAATGATGAGCAATATATTTCTTATTGTATAGAATAATTGGTTTTCTTTCTGTATATAAGTGTGTGTGTGTGTGTGTGAATGGAAGCGTATAGTGATAGGATTATTCTCCAGTATGTCAGTCGATCAGTCAGTCAGCTACAACGTAGGAGTGGGTACGCACGTACAGCAGTTCAAGTTGACGTACTACATTAACATATAGAGATGTAATTGTCACTTCAGATCCCATAGTAGTAAAGGTAATATCAGTATCAGCAGTAATCAGGAGAGATTATGGTTCGACGATATTATTGAAGAATTAGAATCTACTGAATGGGGAATAAAAAAAGTTCAGGATTTGAGAGAACGCGAAGAATAAATGCACGTGCATCATTGCAAACGGTTTTGATCCATGTCATTCAAAGTCTCTAACCATTGATTCATATCATCTCGCGGAACCCGACCAAGTACTCAAACACCAACCAATATGACTCAATCCTGTTATCAGTGATTTCATGGATTTGTGCTGTTTTTGGTTGGCCGCTCCTAGCCTTCTTCCAACCTACTCCTACACTACAAGACAGCTCGTCGAGGCATTCAGTGGTTGAGCATTCGTAACACATGTCCCAACCATCTCAACTGATCAATTTTCATTACTTCATCAATTGATCTGTCATCCCTACCTAGTATGGAGAAGATGTATGCATATAATATGAAGATTATCGTCTCGCGGTAGTCACATTTAACACGGCAAGATGAATAAGTCCAAGAGTGTGGTGGTGGTGGTGTTTGGTTCTCTGAGCTGGATGTTTTGGTTGTGGAGCTTTCATTGTTCTTCTGAACAACATCATCAGCAAAACCTTCAGATAGAAGAAATGGAGTATTCAAATTTCTCCACGTTTGACCTGTAGTTTGTTGTGCTAACCTCGATCTTGATTGGTTGCTGTTGACCTTAAACCTGTGGTTGTTTACACCCCTGTTTTGACTGTATGTCCCTTTTGATCTGTTTCTTCATCCTATGTCACTTATGATTTTTCTGATTGATTGATAAATTGGATCAATGTCGATGTGTTTGTTGATTGCTGATTGACTTGAGTGCCAAGCTTCTAAAAATTCTCTAGTGTTATTTGTCTTCTCCCAATCCAGTATTTCCACATTGCTCCAATCGAATGTGCGTCCATAATTGTCGGTTTGTATTGATATAAGCGAAGCGTTGTCGTGGCGTTTGACTGCTAATTGATTTTCACGTAAACGATGCTGAAGAGGCCGTCTACTTTGTCCTATGTAGTGTTTTTCACAGTCTGAGCAATTTATTTTGTAGATGATATTTGGTTTTTCTTCTTTTGTCATTTTGTCCTTTGGTCTACATACAGGATTGATTGAAGTGATTCTGTTTGTTTATTATGTGCCACACCTATTCCAAATGGTTTCAGTAGTCGTGCTGTATGCTCCGATGTGTTTTATGTATGGTAGAATGACCCGTTTATTGGTTCCTGTACTCGATTTCGCTTCTGTTGATGTTTTTTGATGAAGTTGCGTGGATAGCTGTCCTTTTGGAAGATAGTCACAGGATGTTTTTCTTCGTTTTTTAGTGCTTCATAAATGCTGCAATGTGTCTTCGCTCTCTTGAACAACGTTTGTATGCAGTTGATTTTGTGGGTTCTTGGGTTGTTGCTACCATGTAGTTGAGAATTAGGTCTGTGTAGGTTGGCTTCCGAAATACTTGAGTTTCCATCATTTAGATATCATAAAATTGTGTTTCAAGTCAGTTTATAATTGTCTTTTCATTGCAGAGTTTTGAAGATTGTTGTGTTTCACTGAAATCATGAATCAATCAATGTTAGACCATCATTGGAAAACTGGAAGCACTGAACAGCTGTTTCATCTTAGTATAGGATCCAACAGCAGTGGATATCCACGACACCCGCTGTCATGAATCGAACCCGGGACCTCCGGTCTTGCGCGCAAACGTTTGGCCACACATTAGGTTTATTATAGTTTTCAAGCTAAAGATCTAAAGGAAGTCGAGGAACTCAACTATCTCTACAACCTTATACTGACAGTTCCCATGTGCGGGCTGTAGACTAGCTTGGAGAGGAAATTCTCAGAGTTCTAATGAGAAGTCATGATCAGTGCAGTTCAGCTCTTTCAGGTTAACTGCCACCAAAGACAATAGATGAGGTTGCGCAAACCGTGGATTGAATAGTGTTAGATATTAACAACACTAGATACCTACTCAGTCAAGAAGCCAGGCGTTCACGGGCGAAACCGAACGTCCTCGAATCCATTACTGCTTGTAGAGGTCGTAGATCAGCTTTGCTGACGAATCCCATACTAGGACGAAACGGCCATCAAGTGCTTTCAGGTCGTTAATTGTAGTCAAACATTGATTGGTTCATCATTTCAATCAAACTATAACTTTGCATACTCAGTTTTCGAAACACTCAGAGAACCAGAATGCACGAATGTTAAGTATGGTATAGTATTTCATATGAAAGCCTGAACCGTACAATGAAATGCTTCAAATTTTATTTCAGTGTGCACACGGTATTGTAGAAAATCTATATTGTTTCTTTACTTTGGAGATGTATGCATATAATATTAAGATAGACAGTTACAGACAAATAGCTTGATAAATTGCATCACAATCACCAATAAAGTCGGTATGAATGCACGTTACTATATTGATTGTTTAATAAATCGCTTTTTATTGATTGATAACTTGCTATCATTGATGTTGTATGATAATAAAATAATTGAACGGATATTTCATCAATAGAAAACCTTCAATCAGTCAGTCAGTTACAACATAGAACTTTGTACGTATGTACATCAGTTCATGTTGCCATACTACATTATCACACAGACGCATTTGTCGATTCAAATCCCATAGTAGTAGAAGAATTACTGCTAATGGAGAAAATTAGGATTTGAAGGTAATATTCAAGAAGTATAATTCAAAGAGATAAGTTCAGAAAAGCAAAGGTGGAGGTGTTGACGAATTCAGAAGATTAGAATTTTAGAGAACACAAAGAGTGGATGCACCTGCACCATTGCAAACGAGTTTGAACCATGTCATTCACGGTCTGTAACTATTGGTGACTTTCGTCTCGCGGACCCCAACTAGGTAGTCGACAATTATCGACATGGCTAAGTCCACTCGTCAATGACTTCATTGATTTCTACCATGTTTTGGTCTGGACGCCCCTAACTTTCTTCCAACCTCCTCCTACACCACAAAACATAGCTCTTCGAGGCAGTTGGTGGTTCGGCATTAATAACACATGTCCCAACCACCTTAACGGATGAAGTTTCAATACTTCATCTATTGATCTACCATCCTTATCTAGTACTCGCTTCCTAACAGCAGCATTGCTTCAGTAATAGTCACTGTTCCTTGTATATTCAACAGAATATCATAAGAAGAATTATATATTATTGAAGATGTCGTGGGGATGGGACAATCATGAAATTTGTTCTATCTCATTTTGTATTGATTTAGAAAATTACTATATTACGTTGGTAGTTGTAGATTAACAGGAGAGTATCTGAAGTCCTATTGGAAATAGTTCTTCCAGTAATGTCCACTCTGGCCTCAGGAAGAATCAGTTGTGTTAAGATTTTGTACAAACTTGTGGCAGATCCAAGCTGAATCCATACCGACGTTTGTGAACTCATGGTGATTGTCACAAGAGATCTTGATTCAAGCATTGCCTATACAATGTAATAGTAAGTGGGCCAGTGACTGTTTAGCTATAAATGTCAGTAGGTACTCTAAATAAAGGCTTTCTGTGACGGAATTAATTCTCCTCTAGACATTAAGTAAAAACAAAGTTTTCTAATGTTCAAGAACTGTGGAAATGGTTAGCAAAAGTGTGCACAATAGCTTCCGATAATTATACTTTACTGGGATACTGCTGAGTTATTGAGTATTAAATAAAACCTTTTTTCACTTTTTAGTTATCGTCTAACTGTCCGATGTAATGGCTTGATCAAACACACTCCATATAGGTAAAAATTTAAACTTCACATTAGTAAATGCTTTTCCAGGAGTTTCGGATTTTGTTTCTCTAGCGTATTGGAACGACTTATCGCTAGATAACCAAGTTAAATGCCATTACGGCCAAAAATCAAAAGACCAGCTGTGATTGGAGATCGAGGTATATTTATTGATGATCTCGTGATATCGAAAAAAATATCCAGACCGCGATACAAACCGTAGACGAAACCAACAAGGCAACCGAGCAATGTCAGCGACACCTGACGCGAGTAATTATTGTTTTTAGTACAGTCAAACAAAAGGGTACAGTAAAACAATCACTAGTACAATTGGTGACAGTAATAAATGTTTCCACTTCATCGATCGCGTTCTCTTCATAAACGTGTTCCACTTCATCAACACCTCACTAGAAAGGGTTTACACTTTCTATATGTACCGCCTTCGTTCGGGGGGACTGATCGGCAAACGTCCGATTGAAAGGCGGAAGGGTTGTCGAACAGAGAGCGATCTATGAAGCTCGAGTTGTCACCAAAGGTCTTTCACGGAGAACGGTACAAGCGGTGAAATGCCATGTTTAATGTTCAAGTTGGCGTGCCAAAGCAGCATGGCTCGTATCCAGAATCTGCACATTGCGTTCGTAGGGTTTTGAACCAGAAAAGACCTCAGACGTAGGATGGAATCAGATTGAGCGAAGGAAGCAGAAACGACCTGAGCGACCAAGTTCAAAACCATATGTATGCCAAATTACTAACTGAGTGCATTGACAAAAGCGTGGGTGATCAGGCCAGCATTCGCAAAGATTGACTGAATTTGACAGTACCAACATGGCGATGGTCAGAGGCGTGGCCTCAAGATAAAAAATCGAAGAAAAAGAGAAATGTGTAGCATGCATGGACTATGAGGATAAGGTCCCACGCCGTATCTGTTGTTAATTCGGGATAGGTCGCGAAAAGACGTACAGGTGAGCGTACGCGGCGACCGGAATACGAGACGGTGGTCTGGTGCGTACCACGTGAGCCTGCAGTCTCATCCAAAGTCGAGG